CACAGGCACCCGCCACAACACCTGGCTATTTTTTGGTTGCAGCCGTCATTGTTGTTTGGCGGGTCTGGGCTGGGGATTCAAACCCGCCACCTTAGGTGTACGTGGCTGGTGCCTTAGCCGGTTGAGCTGTAGGCGCCGAGCCAGGTCAAGCCTCTTAAAGTCTGTCCCAGCTCTCCTCCACATTTGGCCCATTTCTCTGCTCAAGGTTAGCTGAATCCCAAATTTATGCCTCATGCTTTGACTTGGCTTGTTGCCAGAGGTAGGAAGCCACTGCTGTCCTGTGACAGGGGTGGGTGGAGAGCAGGGACTGGGTGGCACTGGTATTCCTGATAGGTGATAGCTACTCCCTGACCATCCTCTTCTTCCTCTGGCCACCCCATAGGAGCTGGCAGAGAAGCTGCACCTTCAGGCTCCACAGCACTATCCTGATGCCAACCACAAACCAGAGATGGCCATTGCCCTCACTCCTTTCCAGGGCTTATGTGGCTTCCGGCCAGTGGAGGAGATTGTAACCTTTCTGAAGAGTAAGGTTGGGCAGAATGCTAAGGGCATGCATATTGGGTGTGGGATGCATGGGGAACTCAGACCAGAGTGGGAACATGGGCAGATAACAGAGGCTAAACTGCCATAGGAGCTGAAGGGCTTTTTGCACCTCATAAAGGAGTTTTTGGAGCCAGTAGGCCAGGCCAGTGAGACAAGGCTCAGGTGTAGTTGCTGATGGCTACCAGTTTACAGCAAACTGCAGTTTATTTAGTATTGCCTAATTCCTTGGTTAGTTGGACAGAGAGGTCCCCTCCAGCTCCCCACTTCTGTGGGTTCCGTCTTAACCATTCCTGATATGGGCCCTGGGTCTGGCCTTCTTATAGAGGTGCCTGAATTCCAGTTTCTGGTTGGAGATAATGCAGCAACACAGCTGAAGCAGAGCATGAACCGTGACTCTCAGGCTGTAGCCTCTGCTCTGCAGAACTGTTTTTCCCACCTGATGAAGAGTGAGAAGAAGGTGGTGGTGGAGCAGCTCAACCTGTTGGTGAAGCGGATATCCCAGCAAGGTGGGCATGGTTGTACTCCTGGGTGATGGGTGCAATACTCTGGCCTTAGCTCCCTGGCACAGACACCAGGTTGTGGGGACAAGGCTCTCAATCCCTATGCCTAAGTGGGACACTAAAAGGGGCCTAACTAGATGGTCTGTTGGTGACTTAGCATTTATTTTCTAGTCTTTGTTGATCAGGTCCAGAGGTTGAGTGCTACTTCCTAACTGGTCATCTTCTCTAGATGGTTGAAGGCAGACTGGCCTTGGAGACTCTTAGGATGCCTTCCATCTCTCCTAAGAGTCATCCTAAGATGAATGTTCTGAGATTTTCCCCGGTCCTGCAGCTGCTCCCCATGGATGAACTTTTTTTGGGGGGTGGGGGGGCTAGAGAGTCAGAAGGGGAGAAGAGGATCCTCCCTGTTCTCCAAAGGCCTAATGCCTAGAGCTCTCAATCATTAGATCTTTCCTTAAATACCTGCTGTGGGCCCAACCTTGTGCTAACTAAGGAGGGTTCAGGAAATGACTGTGATGGGTGCAGTCATGTGACCTTTGGACTGGGGAGTCAATACAAGCAGTGAGAAACATCAGGCAGGGCCTCTCTGCCTACTTGCCCTGGCAATGGAAGCCTGGTTTGCTGTCTATGGTGAATGTATCCTACTTTGTAAGCTTTCTTACTCTGTAAACCTTTCTATTCCTCAATAAACTTTGTTTCATGCTTGCCTTAAAACAACAACAACAACAAAAATAACACCAGGCACAAGGAATTCCCAGCTGTTAGCTTATGTGGCACAGGCGATAAGGTCTCATCTCCTTAACCTGGCAGTCCCAGCCCCTTGGCTAGGTAGCCCCAGACACTACCTTTGAGCCACAGGCACTATACATTTTACCCAAGCATAGCTTATTTTTTTGTTCATTCATGGTTTTGAGACATGGGACTTTGTGTGCTGAAAGCAGGAAAGTCCCAGGCTAATGGGTGTAGTTGGTTACTCTTCATGGAACTCTTTTGGGTTATCTCTAACTAACTAGATTTTGGGTGTAGTTGGTTACTCTTCATGGAACTCTTTTGGGTTATCTCTAACTAACTAGATTTTGGGTGTAGTTGGTTACTCTTTATGGAACTCTTTTGGGTTATCTCACTAACTAGATTTTGAACTCCAAGAGCAGTGGTTTTCAATGAGGAGACATTGGCCAGTTCTCAGGATGTTTTTTTTTCCCCTGAAGGGAATTTTATTGATGGCTCTCATTTATTCCCTCCCCAAAGACCAATTGTAGCCAGATGAAGTGAACATAATCTCAAGATGTTCTCGTCTTCATGATAAAACAAAAGATGTTTAGAACTGTATCACTTGCCCCTTTCTCTTCTTATCTCCTCCCACTTCCAAATGCTCACATCTCTTCATAGCTAGCATTCTCTTAGATCTGCAGTTGGGCTCCACACACTCAACCCTCAGCATGATCTTCTCTGTAGTTTTAGCCCTTTTCCAGAAAATTGGCTTAGCTGCCCACCATAGCTACTGTGCTTCCTGTCATAACACTGCTTTTCCTGGGCATAGAGAGAATCCCTGCCCTTCTGGTACTGTGTCAGTCTGTGAGGCTTGCCACACTTCTTACAGAAAGTCTGGGGAGGTTTACAAACATTCACCATGCTTGCGTGAGTGCTATTGGCAATGAAAAGAAAGCTGTCAGGACATTTTTCATTTTCAAATTCTGTTTGGGGGATGCTAGTGGTATCCTGTGGGTAAAGGCCAGAGATGCTGCATCCAACAGGGCACAGAAAAGCACAAAGAGTTACGTGGCCCAAGATGCCAATAGCACTGAGGGTAAGAAATCCTGTTCTAAAAGGACCATACTTTAGCCCTTTTAGTGGATAGCATATTCCTGGGTATATGAACAATCAAGGTATGGTAAAAGAGGCTGGGCATAGTGGCTCACAACTGTAATCATTGCACTTTGGGAGGCTGAGGCAGGGCAGGAGGTGGCTTGAGCTCAGGAGTTCGAGAACAGCCTGAGCAAGAGTGAGACCCCATCTCTATACTGAAAATGGAAAAAAATTAACTGGGCATGATTGTGCACACCTCTAGTCCCAGTTACTTAGGAGGCTGAGGCAAGAGGACTGCTTGAGTCCAGGAGTTTGAGGTTGCTATGAGCTACGATGCCACAGCACTCTAGCCCAGGCAACAGAGCAAGGCTCTGTCTCAAAAAAAGGCCAAGAACAGTGGCTCATGCCCTATAATCCTAGCACTCTGGGAAGCCAAGGTCAGTGGATTGCTTGAGCTCACAAATTCAAGACCAGTTTGAGCAAGAGCGAGACCCCACCTCTAAAAATAGTCAGACGTTATGGCCTGTAGTCCCAGCTACTTGGGAGGCTGAGGCAAGGGAATTGCTTGAGCCCAAGAATTTAAGGTTGCTGTGAGGTTACCAGAGTAGCTATGATGAGCTGACTAAGCCAATTTTCTGGAAAAGGGCTAAAGCTACAGAGAAGATCATGCTGAGGGTTGAATGTGTGGAGGCCATTCCGCTTTCTCTTGCTGTCGCCCATTCTGCCAAGGGCGACAAAGTGAAACTCTCTCAAAAAAATAAATCATTGGGTGGCGTCTGTGACTCAGTGGGTAAGGTGCTGGCCCCATATACCAAAGGTGGCAGGTTCAAACCTGGCCCTGGCCAAACTGCAACAAAAAATAGCCAGGCACTGTGGCAAGCGCCTGTAGTCCCAGCTACTCAGGAGGCTGAGGCAAGAGAATCACCTAAGCCCAGAAGTTGGAGGTTACTGTGTTATGATGCCATGGCACTCTAACCAAGGGTGATAGTGAAACTCAGTCTCTTAAAAATCAATCAATCAATAAATAAACCAAATAAATCATAAATAAGTAAATAAATAAGCCAGGTGCAGTGGCTCAAGCCTATAATCTAGCACTCTAGGAGGCCAATGCGGGTAGATTGCCTGGGCTCATAGGTTTGAGATTTGCCTGAGCCAGAGCTTAGAGACCCATCTCTAAAAATAGCTGGGCGTTGTGTTGGGCACCTGTATTCCCAGCTACTCAGGAGGCTGAGGCAAGAGAATCACTTGAGCCCAAGAGTTGGAGGTTGCTGTGAGCTATGACACCATGGCACTCTACCAAGGGCAATAAAGTAAGACTGTCTCAAAAAAGAAAAAGATACGGAAAAGACGAGCTGGCATATCAAGACAGGCTGGACCCCTTGGGCTGGGGTATGGCTAGGACAGACTCACCACAGCTTCTTTATTCTGTGGGTAGGGACCTTTCCCCAGGATTCCCTGGCCAAGGTGGGGTTGTGAACACCACTGAGTATCCTTGAGTGGCCTGGGGTGTTCTGTGATCCTCAGTGGCTGCTGGAAACAACGTGGAGGATATCTATGGTGAGCTTTTGCTGCAGCTGCACCAGCAGTACCCAGGAGATATCGGTTGTTTTGCCATCTACTTCCTGAACCTGCTTACCCTGAAGCCGGGGGAGGCCATGTTTCTGGGGGCCAATGTGCCCCATGCCTACCTGAAAGGAGGTGAGCCACATTTTAACATTTTTGCAGTAAATCTGTCATCCCTCTTGGACTTTGTTTCCCTGTCTGGACAAGAGAAGGTGGTTGAGGAGACCTTCTCCAAAGACCATCCAGCTCTGACTGCTGAGGGTTTCTAGGCTCAGCAGGGAAACACCCAGTAGGGATGATGAATGCTCATTTAGTATTGGAGACAGCTTGAATCCTCCCACCACCCCATGAGGTTATGAGACTGCATGATGTTAAACCCAGTCAGTAAGTGTGAGAATCATAATTTGAACCCGGGCTATATTGGATCAAGGCCATTCCTCCCTCTCTTGTATTACACAGCCTTTGTATGTCTGCCCTACCAATCTATTTTTATGTTAAAATATGCATGTTCCCACAGAAAGATGTCACATTTTGACTGCTGGCTGCTTATCCATTCATACATAGGATTCTGTCATAGGAGTGTAATCAGAGAGGATGACCTGCCACCTAATTTTATACCTTAGCTGCATTCTCCTGGAGAATGCAATTCCTACAGATTTTTGCCTGACCCTGCATCAGGTTTGTGGATCTCAGGTTAGGAGGCCCAGAACTGGAGGGCCAGCTCCAAGGCCTGCATCCTTTATCAGCTTAGCACATGACAACTGTCTGTCCCTAGACTGTGTGGAGTGCATGGCATGTTCAGACAACACAGTGCGTGCTGGCCTGACACCCAAGTTCATCGATGTGCCCACTCTGTGTGAAATGCTCAACTATACTCCCAGCACCAGCAAGGACAGGATCTTTCTGCCAACACGGAGTCAGGAAGACCCCTACCTCTCCATCTATGACCCTCCTGTGCCAGACTTTACCATTATGAAGATGGAGGTAAGTGAGGGACTATGATGGGTGTCTTTTTTTGTGACATGAAAAACCCTGGCAAGAGTCCTAATGTGGAGTATACCTGGGGCTAGGTTTCCCATCAAGGTCACTTGGTAGGGGCTGGCCACAGGGCCTGCCCATTCCTCCCCATACCTGGGCCTCCATGCTGACAGGGCCTGAGCAATGAGAAAGAAGGTGGCAGGGCTCTCTCATGCCTTAGGGGTTGTCTTAGGCCCATGTGCTGATGGGAGCAGAGTGTAAATACACTGTCCTGTCATTTCCTCCTGCCCAGGTCCCTGGCTCCATGACTGAATACAAGGTCTTGGCACTAGACTCTGCCAGCATCCTACTGATGGTGCATGGGACAGTGACAGCCAGCACACCCACAGCCCAGACAACAATCCACCTACAGCGTGGCGGGGTCCTCTTCATTGGGGCCAATGAGAGTGTCTCACTGAAGCTTACAGAGCCTAAGGACCTGCTGATATTCCGTGCCTGCTGCCTGTTGTAGAGGCTGCAGCCTCCTTAGCTGTCCTCTGCCAGTCACCCCCAAATCCCAGCCAACTACTTCCTCAGGCCCAGCCCAAGCCCCTTTCCCTTATCTGGACTCCCCAGGTACTTCCTGGAAGAGTGAGCTTGTAGGTAGTGACACCCAAGTATGCCTAGGCTGAACCCTCTTCTGTGGGGAGGAGGGACCCATGTGAGGGGCCTGAGGACTCCTTGTACCTCCTGTCACTCACTGCTTGCCACATCTGACCTAGGCTCTTGCCAACTCCAAAAGCAGCAGCTCTGCTCTAGCTGTAGTGCTAGGCTATCTGCGAAACCTGTGACCCAGTATTAGCATGTCAGAGCAAGAGACAGGTAATTTCTAAGGACAGGGTTCTTGCCCCAGGACTGCCCCTTTCCTAGGCTGCAGAGAAGACTAATGTGACTTAAATTTCTTGCTCTGTCAAAGCAATTAAAGGTTGCTTGTGTTGTGGCTGTCGGGTAAAAATACTCAGCCTTTGGCATTCGTGTCCCTAAAGTGGGCTGAAAGAGCCCTCTGTGGATATTATCCAGTTTTTGCTTTACTCCTACTTTGTACAGTTTCCTGGGGGAGGGCAGGCTAGACTCCAGAAACTTTTTTTTTTTTTGAGACAAGAGCCTCAAGGTGTCCCCCTGGCCCAAGTGAGTCTCCTGCCACCGTCTCCCAAGTAGCTGGGACCACAGGTGCCTGCCACAACGCCTGGCTATTTTTTTGTTGCAGCCATCATTGTTGTTTTGCGGGCCCGGGCTGGATTCAAACCTGCCACCTTAGGTGTATGTGGCTAGCTCCTTAGCCACTTGAGCCACAGGCGCCAAGCCCAGAAACCTTTTATGAGTAGGAGAGGGCACCAACTTCAGCCTCACATGGGCACCTTGAAGGCAGGCTTGGGCTCTCTAGTCATACAGAGAGAAGGTATGTCTAAGGGTACACTAGTCATCAGTGCAAGATTTTTTTTTTTTTAAACAGAGACTCAAGCTGTTGCCCTGGATAGAGTGCCATAGCGTCACAGCTCATAGCAACCTCAAACTCAGGCTCAAGCCATCCTCTTGCCTCTGTTTTTCTATTTTTAGTAGACACTGGGTACCACTTTTTGCTCAGGCTGGTCTTAAACTTGTAAGCTCAAGCCATCTATCCACCTCGGCCTCTCAGAGTGTCAGGATTATAGGCATGAGCCACCCCACGTGCCCAGCCAGCTCGTTTTCCTACTGGCCCTAGTGCACGGGTCAAAAAATTAGGGCTATGCCTGCTCATTTATAAGTATTGAAAGCATTATGGCCGCTTTTAAGCACTATAGCAAAGTTGAATAATTGTGCCAGACTGTATGGCCTACAAAGGCCAAACCATTGGCCCCTTTACGGAGTCTGCCAACCCTTTCTCTAGAACAGTGGTTCTCAATCTTCCTAATGCTACAACCCTTTAATACATTTCCTGTGGGTCATGACCCTCAGATTGAGAACCACTGCTCTAGAATATATTTAATCACTATAGATTACAGGCCGTAAGAGATAGAATGATCCAATTTTCATTGCGAGGAAAAGCCCAGCTACCTTTCCTAAGCTAGTAATTAGGTCATCTACTCTCCTCTTACCCTCTTCTAGAGGTGGGACATACCTATTCAAGGAGCTGTCCAGCTGTCTGGTTGCTGTTGAAGTTTCTGACATGTAATCGTAGATACTGTCACCCCAGACTATGCAGACTCAGACCCAGGCCACCGGCTCCCGCCTGTGGGGTAACAGTCTAGACCAGGGTTTACTACCTTTTTTATCTCATGGCACACTTAAACCTATAGTTAAACTTCGATAGCATACTTAAATTATGTTGATCCAAAAAAAAGAATGCTTTTACTGTGCTTAGAACTTCTTTCAAAAATAAGATACTTTTTTTTTTTTTTTAAGAGTCTCATTACATCATCTTTGGTAGAGTGCCCTGGCGTCACAGCTCAAACTCTTGGGCTTAAGCGATTCTCCTGCCTCAGCCTCCCAAGTAGCTGGGACTAGGAGGCCTGGGCTGCGTTTGAACCCACAGCCATGGTGCATGTGGCCAGCACCAGAATGACTGTGCTGTGCTATGGGTGCTGAACCGTAAATTAACAATCTTTAAAAAATTTTGTGGCACTCTGGTTGAAAATCACTGGTCTAGACTGCTACAAAAAAATCTCTGAGGGCTTCTTAGTATGGCTTCTGTCCACAATAGACCCCTTCTATGACAGTGTTCGGGAAACCACCTCAAAAATGTTATGGGTATTTTTAGGCTCCAAATTTTCTTCAGCTAAATAAATAAAGATGACCTGGAAAGAAAGGGTCTGCTAAGGGGAATACATCCTAAAGAGAAGTGATCTGCATATCCATTCATGGTCACCAATGGAATGGACCCCAAATGATGCCTGTTGGGAAGAGCTGAAGATAGGTGGGTCTCCAGGAATTGCCACAAGTAGACAATTTATGCTATTTTATCACTTCAAGATATCCAGGCCTTTCTTTAAAATTCTATTGTTAAAAAAAAAAGTCCTGTTACAACACAGATGCAATCTCAACTAGCACAACTGTATTTATTCTCACAAGTATGCAGAGCTGAGAAATGCAGGCCAAGAGTTCTACAGAGTAGTATGTAAACACCATATGACACCATTCCTATCTTCGAGGTAAGCCTGGATATGCGCCTCTCCACAGGGGGTTGTTACCTGTAGAACACCTAGCACTCTGAAATAAGGCAGTTTGGCTCTGGGCACCTCGGTGCTTTTACTGATAGTATTTTGGTATGTGGCATTTGGCCCCAAACAACTGACCATTTCTACCCTGATTCACTAAGCTCTGTCCCTCCAGTTTACTGCAGCTTTTTCTTTTTCTATATGTGAGATAGGGTCTCACTCTGTTGCCCAGGTGGAGGATACTGGTGCAATCATAACTCACTGTAGCTTCCAAGTCTTGGGTTCAAATTCTCTTCCTGTTCCAGCCTCCCAAGTAGCTAAGTCCACAGGTGCATGCCACCACACCTAGCTGATTTTTGATAATTTTTCTAGAGACAGGGTCTTGGTATGTTGCCTAGGCTAGTCTCAAACTCCTGGCCTCACGCAGCCCTCCTACCTTGGCCTCTCAAAGGGTTGAGATTATAGGCATGAACCATGAATATGGCCCCCTGCAGCTTTTTTTCTGTTGTTGCAGGGTTTGGCCAGGGCCAGGTTTGAACCTGCCACCTCTAGTATATGGACGTCCTCCCCCTCCCCCCGCAACTTTTTCTACAAGGTAATGCCCTCCTATGTGGGGTCAACCAGCTCTGAAATATCCTCTCCAGGGGCAGTCACAGCCAAATATCAGTATTGATTATTGCAGCACCCACGCAGAGGGGAGGGCCTTGGTTTTAGGGTCCTGCCACCCTCAATACTACCAGCTGCCAAAATGCCCAGGCTACTCTGTCCTAACCAACTGGCCTAAAGAAATGTGGTTCCACACTTGGCTTCCACAGCACATTCTGGCCCCACTGGGTTTCTTACCACTATCTTCCTATTCTGATCCAATTCCACATGTGTACTTCACCTTTACAGAAACAGTCCCCAGGGATGGGGAAGGGGTTCAGAGTAGAGATGCTCTTATCCTCTGCAGGCATTTACAAAAAGTGCTCTGAATGTTGGCTGCCTGGGGAGAGCTGCAGAGTCCCATTCCAGGACAGATTAATATCTGCTTCTCTGTTCCTGAGATCACAAGCTGGTGTGCCTCAGCGCTGTCCCACCTCCCTTCAGTGATGCTACTTGCTAATAAGCGCAAATCAGCTCCTAGATACTACATATTCCTCTCAACTTTCCATAATTTGAGAAAAACACAAAGATAATACCAGTAGGGTTATCTTTCTCAGTCTTCTAATCACCTCCTATAGTAGAGCCAAAGGAGGCCACATCATCCCTTATGTGCCTCTAGTGGTCCCAGGATGTTGACTGAAGCAAGAGACTAGACATTTTCCTATATGGGGCCTACACCCCAATCTTGACTACTATGCCCCTTAGGCTGAGAAGAACCCTGTGGATGCTTACTCAAACCTCACCATAGTCGTGAATGAGGCAAGAAAAAAAAAGAAAAGGAATTACTAAAAAAATTCTATGAAGGCCTGTGTAGCAAGAGATGCTATCCAGAGGGTGGGGATGGGCACAGGGGAAATTATGCCTGTTTCTGCTGTGTTCAGGCTGGAGTGCCAAAAGGCTATGTTACATTCAGACATCTACTGTAAAGCCCAATTCTGAGGACTACGCTGTGCTCAGAACAATCTGGCAATAGAATGGCCCTCTGCACTGGCAGCTTAATCTCACGCAGGGGCCTACGAGCTGGCTTAGGTCTCTCCTCCCCACCCTGGGTCAAAGCCCACACACCCTCACCAGTATACCTACTCTCACCCATTGTTACTGCTCCAAAGTTAAAAAAGCTAAACAAAAAGGCACCAGACTGTTCCTTGCAGCTCCCTCTGCTGGTAATAACAAAAACTGCAGGCTGCTGGGGCCAGGCCCAGGACCTTTATACCAACTTTAGCTGGAAAACACTGTTGAGAAACTAGTCAAGACCAAGAAAATACAAATAAATAAATATATACATGTTGAGACAGTTTTCCTCTAACTAGGGAAGGGCTGACCAGAATCACTAACCCGTCCAGGTCCAGGGATTCTGGAAGCCGTGGTACTGTGGAGTAATTAAGCAACCTGCTATATATAATCCTGTCAGGTGCAAGCTAAAGATGGACAAAGGGACTTACTTTACACTTAAAGGTCAAATCTGTGACTCACAGCTGGGAAGAGGAAGACAACATAATGGAATTTCCTGAACTGGTCTAAAGCAGTTACATTCTTTTTCAGATTCCCAGCTACAAGCCATAAAGTGCTATTTTCTGCCTCCATACAGCACTATCCAGGACATACTAAGCACAAAAGTTATCTTTTTTCCCCTCATAAAGCACCACGACAAATACCAGTCAATAAGGCTCCAAGTGTTTCCCTTAGCCACTTTTGTCACCCACCACAAAAACCAAATTTCCACTGTTCTACTCTCATTAAAGTGGCTTCTCTGAACTCTTGCTCCAATAGCAGAGGATAATTGCAGAATTCCATCTCTGCTCCACAGCCAGATGGGGATCTCTGGCCTGAGAAGCACCAGATAAGGGCTAGCCATATGCTATAGATTTCCCAGAGGGCCAGTACTTCCAAGGACTCTGGGCTCACAGCAGTTCCCAAGCATTCTGTGAGCCGTGAAGGGCCACCAGGGTGAGCAGGGCCCGTCTTGGAGGGTGATGTCTACTGGAGGGTACAGGAGGAAGAGTCCCCAAGACAGCACCAGCAGCAAGAGCAAGCTGAAGAGGCCATGGGCTTAGGGGGAATGAGGTCTAAGTCTTCATCATCTGGAATCTCATCCAAGTGATACCCATCCTGGAGCAGCTGCCGGCTCACATCCTGGTTCACCTGCTAAGAGAAGGAGAGGAGAGAACTATAAGCCAAGACGCAAAGCAGAAATAACTGCTGCACCAAAGACATTCCCTTACCAGGGTTTCCAGTCCATATTCTACTCTCAGGCCAACCCTGTACATCCCTGAACTACAGGAGGAAGAGCCACCTTCTCCTAGTTGTGCCTCACTCAGCAGCAAGCCTTGGCTTGTACTGTCATTGACCGCCACAGGACCTCTTCTCACTGGAATCCTGAGGCATCTGATATACATATCAAATTCCAGATTACGTGTGCAAGGTAATGAATGCCCTTACCTTTCCTTTTCTATTTAAATATTTTTTTTTTGAGACAGAGCCTCAAGCTGTCCCCCTGGGTAGAGTGCCGTGGCATTACAGCTCACAGCAACCTCCAACTCTTGGGCTCAAGCGAGTCT